GACGTCGCACTTGATAGCGATCTAGTGATGGAGGCAACCGTGTCAATTCCTTGACAGCGTGACGGCTGACGACGCGTTCGAGTGGGACACGCCGACGCACCGAGCATTTGACCCACGCAGGCGGCAGGTAGATGTGGTTTTGTGCTTGAGGCAGTTGAGCTTTGGCCTTGGCGCCTTGGGTAAGGGCGAGAAGGTGCAGCCATTGCAAGTGCGCCCGGGCAGCGAAGGTCGCCGGTCGCGTTGGTCGGAACCATAGCGGACCCTCGTGAGAGCACGTTGCAAAGGCGGTGGCAAACGTTGCGTGCGGCGAGTGGCGTACAGCCCGGCCATTGGAATCCAGTAGCCAGGCGTTGTTCGCGATCGGCTGGTACCACAAAATGTGCCGACGTCCCGGGTCCATGCGGCGTACCGTCGCTAGATGCGATGCCCAGCGCTTGTCGTGTTCGGGGACATGTACGCGGCACGTGTCGTCCGCGCCCACACGAATGTAATGGCCGTGCGAGCCCATTGAAAAAATCGAATTTCGCTTGCAGGTCCGCGATGTGCGGTCGGTCCGCGCGTCCCAACGCATTGCAAAGCAGCCGATAGCCACAATCGACCACCGTATCTGTCGGGGCCGCCCGCAGTGGCCGCGCTGGTACGTGGCAGACCTTGTCGAGGAGGCCGGCTTGCGGCAGGGCCGACAGGCCGACTTGACTGGCCGCTGTACCAGCGGTAAGGACGAGCCGAACGACGCGACGCACGGTTTGTTGGTTGCAAACAGCTTCCATGTTGGGAATGCCCCCTCCTCGGTGTGCGCGCGGCGACTGGAGAATCGCCTTGGGGACATACTGAGGGAGGCGACCGCCCGTGCCGACAGACAAGTTGCCGCGCCAGAAGAAATGCCAAACGAGCTTCTCCCACTTGGTCTGCCAAGCTGTCGGTGCGGGGAAGTACGACGCCACGAACGCGGCTTTCGGTTGGACAATGGCCTGCAATAGACGCGCCTTGGAGGGTTCACATTTCTCCTTCATTGCGGCCACGCGCAGGCGTGCCGTGGTTGCCTCGTACGCGCGCTCCCAGTTGTCCGCAGCCAAGTCTCCAAGACCAACCATCAAGCCAAGGTACCGACGCCGCTCGGTCGGCTGGAGCAGCGGAAGGCCATGGTAGTTGTCGCGCACGTGAGCTTTGTTCAGACAGATGGCAAACGACTTGTCAAGCTGAACTGTAAGACCCGTCATGTCTGCAAACTGAGCGAATTGCTCGAGCACCCAAGGCAGCGAGTCCATCCGTTGGACAAAAACCGCTGTGTCGTCGACGTGGGCATTGCACGCGACCTGTCGAGCGGCGCCAGCTCCGACGGCCAGGCCATGTCTCGGCGCATGCGCCTGCAGCTTGGCCAGGAGCGGCTCTATGCTGATGATGAAGAGCAACGGTGCAAACGGACAGCCCTGCTGGATCCCGGTCTCCTGGTCGACCCACGCCGAGAGCTTGCCATTGACTTCGAATCGGAGCATCGAGCCCGCCATGAGCGTACCCACCAAGTCGACATAGGCTTGCGGAAACCCCATCGCACGTAGAAGAGCCAAAATGCTCGCCCGTTCGACCGAGTCGTAGGCCTTCGTGATGTCCGCGCTGAAGATGCCCGGCGACGCGTCAAAACTTGATGTCAGATCATCGGTTTGCTGGTTGAGCGCAGCTTGGAAGATCGTGACGCTGTCCGCGAGTGCTCGACCGGGAATGAGTCCTTGCTGTTGCTCGCCAATGATAGTCGTGAGAACGGACGCAGCCGCTGCGCCATGACGTGGGCAAAAAGCTTGTAGACACTGTTGAGCAGCCCGCATGTGCTGTTGCCCTTCTTCTTGAGAGGGATCGCGGTGGCATGCCAAAACGCTTGTGGATTTTATTTAACGTATCTATTTTAATAGACGACCCACTTCAACGACAACCTCTGCAACCGCTGCGTCCACCTCGACAGATGGCGTCGTGTTGTGTGCTTCGAGTGATGTTTCTGCCACGTGTGCCTCCGGCGCAATCACTAATATCGAAGACTGCCAAAGGCGATGATGACCCGAGATCGAAGGGGCCGTTTCCAAGATGTCGAAGAAGTTTTCCGCGCAAGTCCGATCAATCTAGAAGTCCAAGATCTAACACACGTTGCAAAATGCAAGATTCAGGCATCGAGCAAGAGAACTTGAGCCATCTCCAAATTGGTAGTTTCAATCGGGTAGCTGGCCCGCCACTGGCATGGCGGACACCAACACGGTGGCAGCCCCCGAGTAGTTCGGACTTGATGGAGGTATTCTGCATCTACAGCGGTCAACAAAGAAATGGAAGGGCTTCCTCTCAAGGTGGTTGCTGGGGATATCTATTGTCGTTTACACTTTGGCTTTGTCCAGACACGTAAGGGCGATATCAACCACACCGCGTCAAGGCGGTCCTTGTGTGTCAAAGCGAGTGGTTCGCTAGTCCGGTTCGACGTTGTTGGATGCCAACTCGAGATCAACGAAGCCACCCTCATCAATACATGTCGAGCTGAGACCCATCGTCGATCTTTCTCGGTATGCACCGTCGAACGTTACGTGCAACGATTGCAGTGTATTGTTATGTTAAACGAAAAACGCGAATAAACGTCATATATACCTAACCTAATATTTACCTCCCTCTTGTCATGCCGCCTCCAAGCAAGCTGACCATGCGACCGGTCCGTAATACGGTTTTTATAATGGACACAGGAACAGCGACGCTGGCGCAATGCAATCTGAATCTGAACGTCCCCTCGTAGCGGTTGAGAATAGACGCTGAATTCCACCTGCGTCAAGTTCTGTTTTCGAAAGTGCAGCGCGCTCGCGTCATGCGACATTGTACTCGTCTAGAATCGTCGAGGATCCCGTACGGCTTGTGGTCATGAGCAAGGTCCATAAACACTTTATGGCCCTTGCCAAGAGTCAGCGAGGTGACACGGTTGAGACGCCCGTAGCTCTTTCTGTTGCACAGACAGGTCCGTTGAAGAACCGCCTGAAGCAGAACCACTGTTGAGTCGCCCACCTGTAGTTGCATTGGACATCTCCATGACGGAAGTCGTTCATCGAAGGCCCATGGAACATCTCGCACGATAGAGCAGCGCCCACTGCAAACACAATTCATACTAGTTATTTAACGGTTAGCCAAAAGTTGGGAACGGGGTTCGAGCCCGGAGCGACAAACAAAGGGAATTTGCCCCACAGGCGGGTGCCAGCTGGGCGGGTGCTACAGTACAGCCTGGAGAGATCTTCTGGATGCGACGTGTCATACATTCGGACGTTCTTCCCGATATCCCGGATTGCCGTCGCATACACTGCGGACCATCTCTCGCATAAGGTGTGTATTAAGGTGCATAACTACATAGCACGGCGACGCATGTACGTTGGGCATCAAAACGACGAGGTTTGTGATCCAGGAATTCGGTAGCCGTATGCGCCTCGCAATAGTCCAAAGTAACGTACCGAACGTGCGTGTGGTCCGGCAGCACGTCGTCAGGAGCGTGAATCTTGCGACACCGTTGGTTCCATAACGTCCGGATCGTGAGGTAGCGTAGCATCTGCCAGGTTTGTTGCCCGACGCGATCAAACACGGTGCCGTGGGAGCGCCAATGTGAGGCCCGCACCAGCCACGCCGGTGCGGCCAGCTGCTCGTGGAAGACAATCGAGCGTACATGATCGGCGACCGTGATATTCTGCGGATCTCGGCCAAACCAAATGCCGAGTACGACCTGCCAGGGGACGCGCAGCTGAGCGTGATGATGCCACGTTCTCGGGGCTCCAGACACCGGAATGGGATTCATGGCCGTTCTTCGAACCCATCTCGTCGCCCTTGACACGCCAATCAATGGTGTGGAGTCGAATCAGTTGGCATCGATGG